ACTGGGTTTYTATGAACATTAAATATTATCTATGGTGTTTATTACTATCTATCAACTAAGGTAATTTAATTAAGTCAGAAGAAAATTGTGTAGCCACCTTTTTGCTCTGAGCCAGTAAGATCTATTTCATTGGAGAGATTTGTATAGCTCATATACAAAAGGACTAGAATCTTCAGAATCCAGGAGAATGTTGCTTTACAGTCTCCTTTTTTTCCATTGATTGAAAGATTTACAGGCTTAGTTAGGTCCAAAGTTTTCTGCAGTCCAGTTTTATTACACATTTTCTGATTCTTTCTCAGTGGAGATTGAAAATAGTTTGTCTTCAACCTTTGCAAATATGCATTCTGGGGAGGTCAGGGCCCAGCTGAAATTCTTGTGGGCCCCACCTAGATCTTTATCTGAAAAATTGTGTTTTGCCATACAAATAAAAATAATGATCCAAAACATTAGTTCAAGTTGTGGTGGTGCACACCTGTAATTCCAGCTATTCTGGAGGCTGAGGCTAGGAGAATCATAAGCTCAAAGCCAGTCTCCACAATTTAGCAAGAACCTCTTCCAAAAAAAAAAAAGAAGTGGGCTGGGGATATATAGTTCAGTGGTAGAGGACTTTCCTAGCATGTACAGAGCCCTGGTTGGTAGAGCACTTTCCTAGCATGTACAGAGCCCTGGTTTCGTCTCCAGTACCACACCCCCCCCCAAAAAAAAAATAGAATCTTCAAAAATTAATAAGATTATTGTGCTCAGTTGAATGACCTACTTATTTGCTAGTAGTTGTCAACTGCTACTGCAGTTCAGAAGAAGATATTTAGAGCCTCCCAYAAAGATTTTTATARTGCAGTTAGAATACAGTGCTTTATGAATTCCTGGGCCTTATTTGAAGGCTTCTCACTTGTGCTAATTATTAGCACAGCAGAGTGGACCCTGTCTACCTGGTGCTGCTACATCTGGACTTCATTGCTCTTGCTCTTCACTGTACCTGTCTCATAAGCCAATAAAGTTCTGCCTTTGGTTTACTCTATCTTTGTCAGTRCAGCTATCCTTCCTGGATGCCTTTAGTTTGGGTCGTTTTCCTAGCCAAATCTCTGCTAAACTTCCTTGCACTAGAAATCTGCCTTCTTGTAACCACCTTTCCAGGAGTCTGCTAGTGCCTCCTATGTGGATGTGGTCCTTTATTCATTTCTTTAGGATCATCTGTGCACTAAGCAGGCTCTCAAGGGAGGTATCACTCTGCTCTAGCAGTGTGCTGCACACAGTGGGGGTAAAGTGAGGTGTCTGTGTCAGGGAACTTAGCATTTACTAGGGGGAGAGACAGGCCAAAAGGTAACTAAACTATGCTGAGGAACATGGAACAATGAGGGCATGTGGAAGCATCACCTGAACTGATTTGGTAGACTTTTCCTCCTGATGATTTCCTGTTTCATTACTATTCAGTAAACTTGGAACCTCTTACCACATTGGCTGTTTTATATTTGTGACTTGAAATATGTTCACAATTTTTTTCTTTGCTAAATAAAATACCTCTCATTTATGCTTGGAACACATGACGTCTGAGATTAACCATAAGAATCTGGCTTTTTTGTGGGGCACAGTGGTGCACACCTGTAATCTCAGCAGCTCAGGGGGCTGAGGCAGGACCATCACAAATTCAAAACCAGCCTCAGCAATTCAGTGAGGCCCTAAGCAACTTAGCAAGACCCTGTCTCAAAATAAAAAATAACAAGGGCTGCTGCTCAGTGGTTAAGCRCTTCTGGATTCAATCCCCTTTCCCRCCACAAAAATAAATATGTGTTTCTAAGATTTGAAAAATTGCCAGATGCAGTGGTGCATACCTGTTATCCCAGTGACTCAGGAGGCTGAGGCAGAAAGATTGAAAGTTTGAGATTAGCTTTAGAAATTTAGTGAGATCCTTTCTCAGAATAAAAAGGGCTGGGGATGTAGCTCAGTGGTAAAGCACCCCCGAGTTCAATTCCCAGTCCTGAAGAAAAAAAAAAAGATTTCCAAACTTTCTTTTCATTAATAAAGCACGGAACAGTAATCTCTCTGAGCAAAAGAAGTATTACCCATGTATCTATTCATTCAGCAAACAATTGAGTGCCAACACTGCATCTTGGCAGAGCCCATATCAGTGGAAAAAGCAGACAAGGTCCTAAATTCCCATGTCCTGCCAAATTCATTGGGCGTTGCTTACTGTTAGATCCAAAATAATACATAAGGAAGCTTTTGGCTGCTTTGGGAGGAACACTTCACTTGTCTATAATTTAGGGATTGGAGGAGGTTCTACAGAGGAGTCAGTCAAGCCTGGCAACCCTGCACTCACAGATCATTTGACTTTTCTAAATCTGTCCAGAATTTTGGTTCCATTAAGGATATCGCTTCCATTTCCTTTCTTCTTTCCTCCTTCTTTCTTCTCTACTCTTCATTTCCCACTCCTACTGCCTCACCTGTCCCTCTTTACCCACATGATCACTTATTTTAATTTTATTTATTATTGTGAAAGAAACTGCTTCTTTCCTTCTCAACGGTGTAGTGTAGTGAGCCTAATTCAGGCACTCTCTAGCACATAGTTTTGCCTTGTAAGTACTCTAAACTATGACAAGTCTAATAAAAGTAGAACATACTAGATTTTATTCCTCCTCCTTTTTTACTGCCCCTTCGTACAGTCTCCAGCCCTTCAAATAGGAAGGTCCTAGAAGGCTCAGGGCTGGCTTATTCTTTCGACTCTTCCCCTAGCCACTGGATCCAAACCCATGTCTTCATTTTTTTATGTCACAGAATCTTAAATTTACATATTAATGCTTTTTCCATTGAGCTTGTTTACTGCCTACATGACATCTTTGGGACATCTCAGAAATAAAATGTTTAGAATGAGACCTGTGATTATCTTTCACCRCCTCTCTTCCTGGTGCTCCCAGTCTCAGAGGATAGCATTTACCACCAGTGGCATAAGCCAAAAGCCTGAAGTCTTCCAAAGCAGGCTGCCTTTACCTTCTGGAGATATGCTCCTTTCCAGTYCTTTCCTCACTTTGCAGCCAGAGAAGTCACCCCTGTCCCTCCCATGTCTGCAGCARTTTACACAGTGCCTGCCACATAGTGGTGCATACTGGGTAGACAGTGAATGGTGAATTAAGTTCATTGTGTGCATGCACTTCTCACTTATATGTTCTCATCCCTTCGTCTTTTTGTGGTATAATTATTAGTCTACTTCTGGCATAATCCTGTGCTTCTATTTATGCTTTCACATCATTTAAGAAATCTTTCCCAGTGTTAATTATCCTCTTTCTCAAGAACTTCCTGAAACTYAGCTTTCTCCCCAGAGCCCCAAGTGAAATAACTGAACATTATGAACATTGTTATTATTCAACTGAAAATAATCTTTATTCTGAGTCTAACATTTTCCTTTCCACACGGCACCATTTTTGCATTTTGTAATATTTAAGACTTTATAGACATTATATACTATGAATAATTATTACATATATTTCATCTGTTTTAGAAAGCAGATTTTTAAAACAGAGTGGATGATGTTTGTTGAATTTCATTTATTTCTGATACAGAATTCCAGTGTGCAAATGTATTTGATAAAAACTATAAAAATAATATTCTCTGATTTAAAGGAGTATAGGACATCCTAATAAACAGATTTTTTAGTTGGGCAAATGAAAAGGCAATCTTACCTCTGATGCAACTTAAGTGATATGCTTTGTGGCTATTTCTGGTGTCTATCTTCAAACTAAATTCTGCCAATTAAAAAAATATTATTTGGTTTCATTTTCTAAATTCAGCTGAATGATCTCATTTTAATTATTTAAAAATAGATTTATTGAATCAAAATCACAATGAGATACTACTTCATACCCATTAKGATGACTTTTTATCTCCTCCTCCCAAAAAACACAGAAAATAATAAGTGTTAGGGAGGGGAAGAAACTGGAACCCTTTGATATTGCTGGAAATATAAGCTGGTATGAATGCTGTGAAAGAAAATACAATGGCTCCTTAAAAACTTAAGTAGAATTGCCATATGATGTAGCAATCCCACTTCTGAGTGTATAGTCAGAAGAATCAAAWGCACAGATTTGACCAAATATCTGTACATCATTATTCATAACAACATTATTCACAACAGCCAAAGGAAGAAGCAACTGAAATGTTCATTGACAGATGAATGGATAAACAAAATGGGGTACTTGCATACAGTAGGTGGAATATTATTCATTGTTGAGAAGAAAGGAATTCTGTCTTGGGATACAATATAAATGAATCTCAAAGGTATTATGCTAAATGAAGTAAGCCAGTCATGAAAAAAACAAATATTATATGATTCTACCTGTGTGAAATACCTAGAATAGACAAATGTATAGAGACAGAAAGTATAGTGGTGGTTTTCAGGGACTCTGGGACAAGGGAGGACTCAGAAGGTATTGTTTAATGGGTAGAGTTTGTTTGGGATGATAAAAAGTTCTGCAAACGGATGGTGGGAATGGTTCTAGAACAGTGTGACTATATTTAATGTCACAAATTGTGTGGTTGAACATAGTTAAATTGTAAATGTTCTGCATATTTTACCACAATAATAAAATAGGTTTGTCAGTAACCACATGCAAATCTACAGTTACCTCTACAAGTACAGTTTATAAAACTATAGATGAAAAAATATGGATTTATTTCCTTTACATTCTTTGCTCACTTGTTGAAGTATCTGTTGAATTTGTATTGATATCATAGTTGCTGGAGTAAGAAATTAACCTGTGCCTTCTAGAATTGTTCCTGCCTTAGAGTCTTTTTAAGGTCCAGCTAAATCTACACTGTTTAGAGTGTAGATTTTTCATTTTTCATCAGACTCATTGAGCCCTTTGGCCTTTAAGAAATAAATATGATTAGGAAGTCCCTGTTTTAAGGATGGTCAAGTTGAATTTAGCAACTTTAGAGTTTCCTGAAGTACACTGGTATGTAGGAGAAAACTGGAGGTATTTAGCTTTGGCATTGTTGTGTCTCTGCAGGTATACCTTGAAAGACTTTTAACRTATGCAGAAATAGATATCTGTCCGGCCAACTGGAAGCGAATTGTTCTAGGGGCGATCCTTCTGGCCTCCAAGGTATGGGATGACCAGGCCGTGTGGAATGTGGATTACTGCCAGATCTTGAAAGACATCACGGTGGAGGACATGTAAGTGGARGATGTCATTCGTGTCTCAAAAGAGTGGTTGGGAAGGAACTCACACTCTTTTTGGATGCTCTGTATAGCTAAAGTGAATGATTTGGCTATATGTCTGTTGTGAGCTGACGCAACAGAGACACAGTTGTGGAAATACAGAAAACTGATATTTCTCTTACTTTCAGATTATGAACAGGTATTGGTAATGAATTCTGATTGTATAAAACTAGTTTATTAAAACTAATTCATAGGCAAACATTCTTTTACTTTAATTAGGAAGGTGTAGGTATAGACTTATGTTTGGGCTCCTCATTTCACTGCAGACTGATAACAAAACTTTAATGCTTCATACATTCCTCTGTGGGCAGCCAGAGCAGCCCCCAAAGCAAGAGCTAAAATATTACCTGTGTCTGTTTAGTTTCCAAGAAAACATTTTCATTGCTTTGACATTTTTTTTGCAAGTTTAGTTGCTGAAAATCAGCCTTGAMTCTCTGGGGCTTGTCCTGTGTTGTCATCATCAGGGCTAATGTTCTCCCCACAGTTCAATGGGAGTACTACCAACCTGGAAAACAGCTCTCCATCCTCAGCCCTGAAGGCAGTGTTAGTGCTTCTCAGATGGGTCAGTCCTCAAATTCCAGTGAGAATTAYTAATAGTAGATTTTGAGACTGTTGTCTGCAATCTATGGGGCCAGGGAATGCAGGAAATAGGATCAGAGTCTCTTAGGAAGAAAGAGTTATAGAAACACTCAACCAGGATGAGCTATTTAGAATGCCTTGTGACTATAGTCACTTGCTAAAAGGTTTCTGGTACTTTTTGTTGGCTTAGTTCTTCCAGAAGTCTCCTGGATGAAGCCTTAGACAAGGGAAGGTAACTTCCTGAATCCCAATCCCTCTTCCCCCACAACCCTGGACCCTAGCAACCCCAGGGATATAGGATCATTATAAAACCCCACCAGTGTAAGGGTGTCCCCAGGCTCCTCACTAGTCTATGGCCCTCCTCTCTCTGGTCACTGGTTTCCTGGGCCTTTGGGAACACATCTACTGTGCTCTTGGATCTCATTGTAGAGACAGACCTATATCTCCTTTTGTGCCTGTAACCCTTATCTTACATGGTAAGAAGAACATGAAGCAAGTTTTGACCAGAATAATATAATAAGGAAAATGAAATTATTGATCATGTTTCAAGGTGAAAACAGCTATAAAGTAGTAGTCATTTAGACCATAAAAGAGATGGGCCTTTGGGTACAAGGTGGTAAGAAATTCTGGCTTGTGTCCTTTCATCAAGGGTTATTCTTTCATTAACTTACTGATATCGTTTGATGTTGAACCATATGCCATGGAATTACATACTGTTTGTCCCTTCTGCTTGTGTAAATTATATAATGCAAACAGTGACTTGGCATGAGTGGTGATGCTCAAGTTCTATAAGAGCACTATAAGTAGTCATGTCCATTTAAAATCTAAAGAAAGTAACTGCTGAAGTCAAATTTGGGCCTTAAATATTTTTATCATTTATATCCCAGTTGTTTCTCAAAGGAAATGAGATACAAATGCAAATTGCAGATACCTCAGAAGCATTAAAACAGTAGAACAAAGAAAAATCAATAGTGAGATGAATTAGAGGTGAGGAGGAGATTTCTTTTATGTCCTTTTCTTTAGTCCACTGGGTTTAACTTGCCAAAGTGCTAGCAAAACTGAACTTTTGTGTAAACTTAGCATAAGGGAAAAGTTTATTTAAAACTTTGAGAAAGTGGTAGAGCACTTGCATAGCATGGGAGAAACCCTGGATTTCATCCCCAGCATTGCAAAACAACAAAATAAACTTTGTGGAAATGTTTGTAAAATATTTGTGAGTAGTCCCACTTTGTCAGTTCATGCATGTCTCAATTTGATCTTCTCATTAACCATATACATATGTACTTAATAATACTACTTTCCAGATCTGGATACTGGGGCCTGGAGAGTTTAAATAATGATCCATCCAAATAACCAAGTGGGGAAGTTTCCCCAAGTGAGAACCATTTCAAACCCATGACCATTCATTATACAGTGGCCAAATGACAAAATGATAGAAATGATGTGAATCAATCCCTGAACTATGCATGAAGATGTTTTAATTAAGTGCCTGAAATGAGATTTATTAATTTGTTATTCTCTCCCTAAATAAAAGAATGAGAGGGTAAAAATAACAAGTAATTTGTAATTCCAAGTATCTAGGCTCTATTCATTGAAGATTTAAATGACTAAATTAGGAAAAACTAACTACTAGGGATATTTATAATAACAATAGTAACCACCACAACCGTAATAATAATAATAATGATAGCCACTATCATTTATTGAGCACTTTTTAGCTCAGTAAAGAAAAATTTTTGTTTGTTAATTCATTTCTCATATTTGCCCATAAGGAGTACTAAAAGCAGAGTTTGAGATAAAACTATATTCTCTTCTTCTGTTAGCAGATGGGGTCTGCGTATGGTTGTAAGCCTGTGCAGCTAAGAAAGCCTGTTTTGGTGTTAGCAGCTAATCACACCCTGCTCTGACAGTCACTGCTGGCCAAACTGGATTCTTCTCCACTACTATTGAGTGGCTTGTTGGAGCTCTTAATGGCAGGCTGTGCTCTCTAGTGTTGCTGCAGACCCCAGAAGCTCACTGACAGTTTCTTATTTCATGAACTTGAAGAATGAAATCCACAGACAAGGAAACTTGAGTGTAAAAGAGTAGGATTTATTCAAGTGGAAAGAAAAGAAACAGAACTCTTTCAGGGCGAGAGGAAATCTGATAGCAGGTTGCCACTTGAGTGTGCTAGTCTAGGGATTTATATCACTCTTGTGTCAATACTAGTGGTCCACATTTACACTAATCAGGCTTTGGAAAAGTACCAGTGCTGTTGAYTAGCCCTGTGATCTTCATTCAGATCTGCCCCACTTCCATTTTCTTGCTGCTCATTGGCTGAGCTGCCTGGGATGATAGGTCAGCATATCCCAGCTCACCTTGTCTCAGGCTTGCACTGACATGCTGCTGCAGCCACTGCTAACTGTCCACACTCCAGCCTACCTGGGCTACTATTCCACTGCTCCTTCTCCYGGGACAAGGGCTTGGATTCATTACTAATGTTATTCCCATTTTACAGATGAAAATGAGGCTGTGGGAAGTTAAGTAGGATGTCTAGGCCACTTGGCTACTAAGTAACAAAGCCAGAATTTATATTTCTCCTCTTCGCAGTTTAGGTTAGAATTGTTTCATTTATCTATTTCATGAACTTGAAGAATGAAATAGTGACACTTCTTAGCCACCATCACAAAAATGTACATATAAGTTAAAATTGCATTTTATAATTAAAAATGACAACTATTTTTTGAAAGTTATTTCAGTCAGATTTTTCATTGCCATGACCAAAAGACCTGACAAAAACAATGTGGAGGAGGAATAGTTTATTTTGTCTTACGGTTTCAGAGGTTCAATCTGTTGCTSTGGGCCTCAGGTGAGGCAGAACATCATGGTAGAAGAGCATGTGGAAGGAARGCAGCTCAAGATAATAGTCAGGAGGCAGAGGGAACTCTGCTCACGATTAAAAGATACAAAGTCTGAAGGCACACCCTACCTCCTTCCAGTTACCCTTCTGTTAATCTATATCAGTGGATTAATTTGCTGATTAGGTCAAACCTCTCATAACCTAATCATTTCACTTGTATTGTCTCACACCTCATATATAAACCTTAACAAAAGTCAAAACTTTTCTACATAAAGAAGTTGAAAAATTAGGCCAGAGTTTGTGCAGCCGAAATTAAAGTTCTATCAAGAATTATTTGGGGGAGGGGGGTGTTGTTCAGTGGTAGAGTATTTGCTTGCCTGTGACAAGATCCTGAATTTGTTCCCCAATACATCTCACCACCACCACACACACAGAGATTTGTTTTGATGAGGATATTTTAAAGTATTTGGTTTTTGTTGGATAGTATCAATACTTCAGGCAATTACTACATTATAGTGAAGTTAAATTATTTTTCAAGAGCAAAATAGTAACAATAAATGTTTTATTGAATCCAGCCACTGCATTATTTACTATTTGGAAAAAACAGGTACTGTAGTGCAAAAGTTCTGTTCCATATTTTGTCCAKAGAGGATTGACAATTTTTTTTTAGCCTGGCTTTTGTTCTTTCCTTGAAACCTGTTGGTGACTAGATTGCTGCATCATCATGCAAGCCACTGGMTGAATCTCATTAATTCATACATTTGAGTATTTAATGACTCAAAGGCCTAAGGCTGAGCAGAGGAAGAATGCATGCAGGGAATGCTTTGTTCTTTAAAGACCAGATTGTAAAGTCTTCCTGAAGAAACTGGGTTGATGCCCTCTTCCTTGGTGGTCCATTTTTAATATTCTGTTTAATCAATGGTATATGTATTAACATCCCATAAAAGACTATATATTCTCCTAAAGAGGAATTGATCAAACAGTTGCATATGTGAAATTGGGAATTTACAGTTTCTTCCCTGACAAAAGGYAGAAGGAAGCAAGAGGTATCTACTAAAAGTATGGGGGTATTAGCCAAAAGAGTGCCCTTGTATCAYGTTTACAATTCCTGATTATACAGAGGTATTCAGAGCAGTTGTATCTCCATATCTGGAGGTACAAGCCAGATAACCATGACATCAAAGCTCTTCACATATTTTGGCTTGTCCATCACAGAAAAATATAGAAAAATTTGTCTCCCCATTTCATTTTTATGGTGATATTGAAATTTTTTCACCATAAGTTTTGATAATTGTAAAGGCGATCATTTGCAGTATGTTATATATWTTTTTTAAATAACACGTTTATTTTATTTATTTATTTTTATGTGGTGCTGAAGATTGAACCCACTCCACTGCCTCTCGAATGCTAGACATGCTCTCTACCTCTGAGCCACAACTCCAGCCCTGTTATATTGTTTTAAAGTTAAAAGTATGCATTGTAGACTGAACACCATAGCAATATGATTCCCACCATCATCCATTTTTTTAGAGTTGAGCATTTTATATTGTTCCTTTTTCTTTTTAAAATCATTATTTCCTTTCTAGTTTTCTCCCACATTAAATATATTCTTTAAAATTGTCCATCACAAAAAATGTACATACAAGTTAAAACTGCACTGTTATTTTCTGGACTTTAATGCTCTAACTTATTAAAAATATTCAGGCCTGAGTTCATAGTACTCAGTTGATCAAAACAATATATCACATTTTTATAAAAATATTAAATAGAAGAAGAAAAGTGTTATGGGAAATTGATCTCTTAATGAGATCAGTATACCTATTTTTCTCCATTAATTTATATTTTAATTTATGATTGTTACTTATTGATAGGATGAAGTAATAATTTAGCATAAGTTTTATTTCCATTTATCTTTTCTCTTTCTTCTGTAACGTAAGTGCTGAGAGGAATATATTCATATAAGTAGATGAAATTGCAAGGTGTTTTGTTATAGTAGCATCACTCAAGTCTTTCCAAACTATATGGTAAAATTACATAGTCACCTATTAGTAAAAGTTATTTAAATAAGTCTGCCAGCCTCTTCTTCAAATTGTTGAAAGCAAAATCAGGATTCCTTTCAGTTATTACTGGTCAGTAGTTATTTGTACAACATCAAATGGTACCATAACTCTTTGCTTAGCTCCTYGGGGATTTTTTGCCTTGGGACAGTGAATCTTAGGCCAGTATGGATGAGTGGCSTCTTTCCTCTCAGAGCAGGGGAAAAATGACTAGGAGAGACAGAGCTGACAGGAAAACCTGCTCCCTTGGATATGTTCTCTGACAGAATTACAGATCTAGAAATCTCTTTCCTAATGTTATATTCCCCAACATTCTTGGAGCATTATTTTTACCTTAAGTGAGTGCATCCTGAATTTGCCCACTGTGTGTACCTCCAACTGGAGACATGGCTGTCCATATACCATTTTGGATAGGATCATTAAACTAGTTCTCTTAAAATGTAAAATTAGAATTTTCTGCCTTAGCATTGGGAGAATAGTGGCACTTCTTAGCCACCAGACGGCGATCTTTCCACAGGTAGCTTGCTGTTGCTCCTAACCCATTCCTTTTGGCACTTCTGGCCTTGGCAGTATTTTTGACACTCTTGTTTCATTGAAATATTACCTGGATTCCARTATTTTACAGGATGATCTCTTACTAAATTTCATTTAAATGAAGCAATAAAATAAAAGTAAATTAAAATTAAAAAGTTTTTCCAAATAAAAGTAAACTCCTTAAAAATATAAGATTCAGAACAGTTTGTACATTTGGAGCATGTTAATTCTTTTCACTTGACTGTATAGAAATAGCAAGCAAGATATGCTTCTCTTTATCTCACTGAAAGACCCTCATTCACATGACTTCACTTAGGCTTTCATCAGCAACTCACTGTTTTGAAATTCTTATGTGCTGATAGTTTCTGTCCCACCAAAGCCATCATTCAGATATCAGCCTCCCTTTTCTTCTTTATGCTCTGTCCCTTGTTTCAACAGCATGAAATGAAGGCACATTCCTCCTCTGCCTCTACTATCTCAGTTAGGTGACCCACCAGGCTCAGGCAAGATGGCACTCTACACACCATGGGAAAAGGATAGTGCTGAGATAATTTGAGATCCCAAAAATCAAATTGTATATTCAATGAGGTTGGCAGAGCACGACTCAGAATGGGATCTGGAGGACAGAGGCCCACCACTGGGAATAGGGCTTGCCAGTGTTGAGCTTTACCTGTGGAATATGGTGTCTACATGGCCTACCTTCCTATACTGGGCCTACTCAGCCAGAAGAACCCCACCATGAACCCTTGTTCCTTTCTGCCAGAACTTCACACTTTCATAAAATCAGTTCAGCTCAGGGAACAGGCATGTCAAGTCAGATGTCACAATTCCTGGCTATGAGGAGACAAATAGGAGAGATTGAGTAAAACAACAATTACAGAGTAGTGTGATAAAGGACAGAGATAGAAGACTGCAGTGTCCTGTGAGCCTGGCATCACCAGATGCTTCATGGAGGATTGAAGTGGAGCACTTTGTCCAGAACCAGTGCTTAAGAAATTTATCTGTCRCTCCCCTTCCAGCTACTCAACATTTCCTCAAAATGTAAATGGACTGACAAGATGTATCACAACACTATGTTTTCTCACCCATCTCTTTAGTTGACTGGTTCTCAAAGTGTGGGCCAGGGCCCAACAGCCTCAGCATCACTTTTACCTGGGAACTTGTTATAAATGTGATGTTTTCAGGCCTACCCCAGGTCTACTAAGTCCAAGTGTGAGGGGGGAGTCCAAAAAACATGCTTTCACAGTCGCCCAGGTGACTTTCATGCATACTGAAACTAGGAAACTGCTGCTTTGATTCTTCAGGGTCTGTGAGCTCCCTTTAAGGATTGGGGCTGGGATTGAACACTCCCCACAAACCTTTGCAGCAGTTTCTCCCCTTGAGATTGAGAAGCCTCTAACARTTCTTACACTTTTTTCTCTCAAAAAGTAGGAAAGAGCCTTTGAGAAATCCCAGTTCTCTAGGTCTACAGAGGCCATTTTTTCCTGTGTGTAACTGTCATGAGGCCCTCACTAGACTTCACTTGACAGCTCCTGACTGCTTCATCTTGTCTGCCATGCAAGCAAGGTGCAGGCCACATCGTTCGAGCAGACTGTTCATGCTGAGATTTGCAGCCAGGCCTGCTGTGTATGTGTTAGGTGTCAGTGAAATGAATCACCCTGAAGCACTTCCTGGTAATCATCCCAATTAATCAGGCTTCATCCTTCTGGGCACTGGATCAAGCAGATTCGGTTTTTAATACCAATTTAGTGGTTAAACTGCATCTCTGGTGTCCAACCAGGCAATTAATTAGATCATTTTTCTCCCTGGAGGATGGCAGTTTTCTGGAGTCTGGTCTCCAGCAGCTTGGCAGGCCACACAGCCTGGTGGGCAGCTAAATGTGTGCTATTTTTGCTTTTGCTTTGCAGGAATGAGCTAGAGCGACAGTTTCTTGAATTGCTCCAGTTCAACATCAACGTCCCTTCCAGTGTATACGCCAAGTATTATTTTGATCTTCGTTCTTTGGCAGAAGCAAATAACCTGAGCTTTCCTTTGGAGCCGCTGAGCAGGGAAAGGGCCCACAAGCTTGAGGTAAGATGTTTTAAGACATTGTCCTCTAGTGCACTGTTGCAGATATACCTTCTCATTCCACAGAAGTATGTGACCACAATGATGTCTCCCATTTGCTATTGTAAAATAAGGACAAAGTCCTTGGAGTTATTGCTGCTCAGTTAATTTAGTTGATTATAACTTGCACAGCTTYACATTTTTAATAAACTTTATTTAAAAAAATTATTTGTTGTTATAAATGGACAGAATGCCTTTATTTGTTTATTTTTGTGTGGTGCTAAGGATGGAACCCACTGCCTAATAACCTTCTTAATGTCATATGTATTGATTCTATTTTGAAATTAAAGATTTTTTAAAACCCTTGTCCTTATAAATAGGGTCTTTAAAAAAATTATAAGCCCCTTCAAAAAAGGTATTTCCCAGCATGCACTTAATAGGGGAACACTACCAGATGACTTTAACAATCAGCAATCCATAAAGTTTGACCTTTTTTCTTAAATATTTGTTCTATAGTTCAGTTAGAGCTGGAGCGAGCTGCACCTGGTGATCTTGGTCTGGGTTAGAGCCATCATTATTAACCTGAATGTCTTTTGTGTCTCATCACAGTGTATTTGTATGGAGCTCACCTTTTTATTTTCACCAAGCTCATCCATTCTGACTTTTAGACAGGAGGGAATGGCAGGGTAGTAAGAAGATCACTGGTAAGATACTTTCCTCCAGAGAAGGTGTGCTGAGGCTCTGGTCTCTTGCCTCTGGAATTTACCACTCAACATTTTGGTTTTATTCCAGAGAGCCTTGGACTAACGTGATAGATGACATAGTCCTTTCCCAGGCTTGGTAAGAATCAAGAGGTCCTGTGCTGCCTGCTGCACCATCCATGTGAAAGTGAAATGCTATCCCTTTTCAGTATGGTGTCAGGTGGGCAGCGTGGTGGTCTAACAGGGCTAAAAACTGAATGAAACAAAGCTGAGAGGTAGAAGAAGAGAATTATTATGGATTATAGATTTAGGAAAGCAAACATTTTTAAAAGGAAATAATATGTTAATCCCAAGAAGGAAACCTGGTAAAACATTGGAAAAAAACGGCTGCCTAGCACTGGGGTTTAAACGAAAATCCAGAAGAGGTTTTTGAGAATTCAAGTCATTCTGCTGTGATCCTGTCCCAGCCATTGGAATGAAAATACTCATGTGGTCTATTTTTCACCTGTTCAGTTGGAAACCCTTCCCTCCAAATGATTTGTTCCAAGGCACATGTTCAGATCTTTGCAAACATGAAATACAACTAGGGTTTCCTGGTGAGCATGACCCTCTCTCAGTCCATACAGTTGGCCTTGGTCTACTGCCATGGGCTCCACTTGTTCCTTTAGTACTGGGGAGAGGAGGTTTTGTCTTGGAAATAAATTAGTATGCCTGTGCACATGTGGGAGATGTGAATAAAGCTAACATCACTTTGCATAATAAAATCTTGGATAAGGTAGAACATTATTAATCTGTGACTATATTACATTCCGTTTTAAATGTTGTAAGCTGAGAAACAACAGATGGTAATCTTAGGAAATTTAAATAAATGAAAAGAATTTGCTCTGAAAAGGATAGCTCTCCTGCCCCTAAGRAATCTGATTTTCTCTTCTTCAAATATGCCCTCTATATAATGTGTATTATATATGTTTTAGATGAGTAATTCTCTGTTATAATCTGTTGGCTTCCCTAATTCATGTCTCATTCAGACAGAAGACATCCTTGATTCCTGTAGCTCTCCTCCAGTCCATTGTTTATGCTATCACAGGAATTATGTTTCTAAAATGCAGTTTGGGGTTTTAGAATGTTGTCCTAAAATCACGGGCAGATTGTGCTACCTAAAGAATAAAGCCTGAGCCAGCTAGTATGGTAGATGGCCTTTTCAATCTGGTCGCAACTGGCTTGCTGTCTCTGTCCCTCGCTGTCCTTTGGTAGCCCTGAGCCCTGGCCTTGCCCACCACGTACCATGCCAGCACCATGTGGCTGGGACCTTCTGCCCTTGCTGAGGATATTCTCACCCTCTTGGCAATTTCTTCCTCCTCTTCCTTCTCCTCAGGCATATCCCTGGAAGCCTGGTTCCATCCTTGGACATGAATGTGCCCTCAGAATAGAGTCAGTTGCTCATTCTCTCTGCTTCCAGGTGCTTTGACACACCCCTGTTGTRTTCATGCTCTGTTGTGTCATGCCTCTGTTGGAACTTACGCATCCAGTCAGCACACTGACACAAGAGTACCACTATGAAACAAAACTGTATTTGGGGAGTTTACATTCTCCTGGAAAGAGAGAACAAACAATAAGCACAACAAATAAATTGGCTAGTATGTTAGAAGGTGGTAAAAAAGAAAAGTGCAGTAGGACCAGGGAATTGCTGTGTTCCATAGCCTTGTTGAGTGCATGGTGTTCATGGAAAGACAAAAGCAGGGGAGAAATTGGACTTGCAGATCCCTCCTGGCTGAGGGAAGAGCTGCTTCCAGGCCAAGTGGGAGTCCATCTCTGACCTGCTTTGTCTCTCTTGCTCTTCAGGCTATTTCTCGCCTCTGCGAGGACAAGTACAAGGACCTGAGAAGATCCACGAGGAAACGGTCAGCAAGTGCTGACAATCTAAATCTGGCGAGGTGGTCCCCAGCCATCATCTCCTAACCATGGATGTCCCCACTGGAGGCCGCACCATCCCTCAGTTTCTCCTTTAGTTTGAGAAAAGACGAACTTGGGGTGGTTTTGTTTTTGTTTTTCCCTTTCCTTTTCTTTTTTAACTCATAGCTCCATCAGGCTGCCTTCATGACCTCCTCCACGCTGTGTGAACTGCACGCAGCAAGGCTTTGAGGAAGCAAGATCAGTATTGTGGAAATCCTGTTTCATGCCTCTCCCCATCATCAACAGCACTTCCTTCGTGGAGGAAACAGACTCTAATCCTGGAGGAGGAAATAAAGGGAAAGGGAAGTCGTGTAGAGGCAGGGAAAATGGTTGAACGCCTTGGCCATTTCTTAAGTCCCCCATCTGGTCATTAGATGAATATGACAAAAAAACAAAACAAAAAAACAACAACAACCAAAAAAAAAACCACACATTAGATAGCAGAGTTGGATGTGCATTAAAGACAGGAGTGCCACGTTTATCACCCCCACTTGGATCAGTATGTTCTGTAAGACTTCTTGCATTCCTTCTTGCTGCTTTTTTGGGATTTGGGGGATTTTCGTTTGTTTGTTTTTATTCATTTTGGCCCCACAGAGCAGAGAATATAGTTTGTACCCACCATGGCACAGACATCCAAATAAATAGTACTGGTTTGTTTCTCTGCACTACTCTGCAAGCTGTCTTCTGAGCTTTCTTCCTCACAAGTGGGCTGTGCTTGTTATATTTCTGTGCATCTTTATTTTATACAGTTTTTCTTCAACCATGGCAAAATTAACTTGACTGTAGTGCTGAACCAAAAGTATCCCTTGCCCTTCTTACCCCTCACCCCAAGAAATTCTAGATCATATGGGTGCTTGTGCCTTCCAATTTTCTCGCAGTTGCTGTTTTTCCCCCTCTGACGGAAGTTTTAGTTACAAAAATCAGTCAGACTTTGTGGACTGAAGGAAACAATGTGCAGCCAAGGGCATCCTCTGGTTGAGAACTTTCCCAGGGAGCTCAGTGTTTGCCTAAGTCATTGTGTAGGAGCCATTTCTTTGTACTCCCAGCCTAGTTCATTCTTCTACTTCCATGTCCATTGTTGCAAGCAATATTATTCTCAATTTTTATATGTTTACTTTAAATCAAAGTTAGTCTATTTGTATAAAATTTTTTAAAAATCTAAAATTAAAAAAAAATGGGGTGGGTGGGGTATTCCAGTGGGTGGACCATCGAAGGGAAAATGTTACTATTTACTGAGGTATTTTTCACAGAATGATGAATAAAACAACTCAACTTGCATTTTCATTGTGGGTGCTTAGAGAAGTTATACAAAATTCAAACTGTGAAGGCTTATGCTTCATTAATTATGGCCGTACTTTGTCATTTTCTGACTATCCCTGATTTCCTTATGGGCTAGATAAGAATCTTTTATATCGAAAAAAGTAAAAAGGTTAAAGATAGAATGTCAAATAGTAAATTTGATATGAAGCCTGAGAATCTGAGTCATTTACACTTTGGATTTTGCTTATTTTATTAGGTAACAGTGACTGAAGTTTCTGAGCTTTTTCCTTTTTCAAGTCTCTGAGGCAAATGGCAGCAGTTGGTCTGTTTCACCTCCCTTCTATGTGAGCTTGGAAAACTTTGGACTCTTACATTAGTCTTGAGTACCTTAAAATTGTACCCCCAATCTCCAACATGTCTACTCTCAATGAAACAAGCTTTGGAAATGGAGGGGACTCAGAAAGTCAAAATCTCAAGAACACCCAGCCAAAAGTGCTAGTCAGGTTTCAATGGAGTATGTGTTATGTATGATCATAATTGTTCAGGCCAGAAATATGATCAGGTTCTCCCTGGACTGAACTTTCAGACAAGCAGAAAATGAAGAGTTAATTACCTTCCCATGTAAATGTGTTGACTTATTCTGAATGAGTACCAAAATCACTTTCTCTCAAGTAAGAGTTGAATTTAGAACTTTAAACAGATGTCTAAAAATGTAGAAAGTATCGTTTTATATTCCCTAATCTCTATATAGCTTCAAAAGGGACATATTTTCTTAGCTGAATATGAATACCTCTTAGACATAAATTTGTTCCTCTCATGTAAAATATCTTATTTTACTGATCCATTTCAGGAAAGAGGTTCTGCTGACTTTATAGCAGAAATCTTATTTTTATCCCTTTTATTTGAATGAGAGATTTGAAAATTGAACTATGTAAATATTTCAATGCATCTACTATAATTTTGTGGAGTTTATTAAACTACTTTAAAAAATTGTATAGTCTATTTATTGTATGTATGTACATACAGTCTGATACCTGAAACTTAAAGTGGATTCCGTAAAACCTGGCTCAGTCTTGTTTAGACTATTGAATATTGTTTTAGCCTTGTGCACTGGACTCTACCTCTGTATAGGAAATTTTTCCATATTCATTAATTGGTATTGATCTGTATTAACTGGTTATGTTTCTTGCACTAAGGACTTTTAAAACTTTGCTGTAAGTGTAGTTTTTAGTTTTACCTTTGCAGTATGAATCACTTGACACATCGGTAGATAACTTAGGTTTGGTTTTATTTTTCTACAGGATGATGAAGACATAAAGTTTGTTTTCTGGTTTGTTCCAAGTTTGCCAAAAGATGAAAACAACAAAACCAAACCCCAAATCAGTATAGTACCTATTGGTAAATATTAGGGACTGTAATTTGTTTGCAGGGTGATTCAATACCCTACAGTTAAAACCAGATGATACTTAAGAATATAATGTCTTAATGTAATATTTGAATGGAGAGATTTTTGTCATTAATGAAGGGTGAAGAAAACCACACATTTCTTTGACTCTAATTTTAGATTTGACTTAAACAACAAGTCATTGGGACAATAAATATACATCCCAAAGAATTTTGTTTTACTTTTCTTTAACTGGGGAAGGAAAGAAAGTCGGGTCTAAAACCAAGTTGGTGGGCAAGGTGGTAGATCTGCAAGCCCTGGGAACTGCTCTGGTGCCTTAATGTACCAGGTGAGGCCTGGGGCTCAGCCTCATCTTGTCGCCTGTCTGCTCTTTCAGGCTGGCTCTCTTGTATTTCTTCTCTTGGTCTTTGGCAGGGGTGTCTCCATCTTGGGGTTTTTCTTGGTTCTTGGCATTTTGCCCCTTAGCTGAGTTGTAAGGCAGAATTTGGGTGAGTGAGCGATTTTGACTTTTCCTGCTGCTTTTGGGTAACCTCTCACCTAAAGCCACATTTTATGGCTTTGAATTTTTTAAAAAATAAAATATGATTCCTGGTTCATTGTTAGGTGTTTAATAAGTGTTAAATAAATAAAAACATACATAGAACAAATAGTGCCTGCCTTCCTGCTGCTTTTTTTTTTAGTTATAATGTTGAGATAAAAATCAACAGATATTGTGGGTGCTGAGAAAATGAATTCTTTTTAAAAACAGTGGGAGTTCTGTGAGTCTTGAGAGATTCAAAACAGGATGAGACTTCCTTAGAATCCTCCATCAATGGAAATGTTTGCGTGATGGAGGCCTAACTGCCCTGTTTTATCTTAAGTCACTGTCTCCCTGAACTTACTGGAATCAGCATCTCAAGACTTATACTGGGTGGATCTCAACCATAGGGAGTCATCCTTGTTGGAAAACAAAAAGGAAATAAGAAACCTGGCCCTGAGTTGAGATGAGAAAAGGACACTTATACCCTGCAGACTGCAAGGAAAGCCCTACAGATATCATTAAGATAATGATTTGCTGTTACTGAATGCTGAGAAAATCTGCACCTGAAAACAGATTGCCCCACAGGTACCAAAAAAGCTCCTATAGAGATTAGGGAGATGACGAGGAGTGCTTGCAGCCACAAAATTGGTATTTGGTATTTGGACCTGACCAAGTCAGCAGATTTCCTCTTCAGTTTTTCAGGTTAGATTTCCTTACAGAGAGTCTGTATATGTGAAGGAACTACAGGTCCTCATGTGCCACTTCCCATGAGAAATTTTCTTCAGGAGTTGGTTGTCATTACCAAAATGATCTGCTTTTATTAAATGTTCAAGCGAAATAGTCATTGGAGATTGCTGTATGTGTGCACTGCTGCAAGTCAAAGCTGTGCATAAGCACCCAGACACAGATTGGTGCTGGAAATTATATATGTCCCTTGCAGATCTATGTAAAATGTTCTAGAAGAACCTGTTAACGTAAGAAATGGACTCACACATGGTGTCTGAATGGCACTTGGATTTTACAGGTATCGATAAATGTGGGATAAAAGAATGTTATTTCAAAATAAATACAGTTTGGAAAAAAATATTAAATGGAACTTGAATTTATGCATAACATTTTGTTAACATTGGTATTGATCCGTGTTGTAATGAAAACTTGGGTTTTGAATCTCAGTCTAAATTATAGTGTAATCTTGAACAAATTGCTTCACCTCTGGACTTTTCAGTGAACTGGGCTATTAATCTTGCTTGGTTGTTTTTGCCACCTTGCTTTGTTTCTGAACACACTGTGCGCAATTATTCTCACATCATGACTGTTGGATACATGTAGGAAGGCCGGGCCTAATAAAAGACAAGTACAAGCCTGACTGAATTTCCCTGGGGGAAATCAATCATCTTTCTAATGTCCCCTCCCAGAGAAGAGTGGCCATTGGTAGATGCAGCAGATCTTACATAAATTGGAAGGGTATCCAAATTTCAGCTACTGTCCATTTTCCCTTGGGTCTCTCCTGATGCAGTTCAGCTTTCAGCTTGTCCTTAAATTGGGTTTTCCTGGGTCTAGATAAGATTTCTTACCCATACTGGCAGATGCAGAAAACCTTGGAACAGGAAAGTTGAATGTGTGGGTCCATCTCAAAGTGAATCTGTCCTGAAAGGGGTGCTGCATCATGGTTAACCATTGATTGATGCTTATTGCAGTCCTGTAGACCAGAGCTTAGGAAGCCCAACCTTGGAAGGAAAGAATTTGGCTCCTTTTTTATGACATCTGCTATTCATCCAGGAAGATGAAAAGCAGCCACTTTCAATTTTCCTATATTTGCCTCTGATCATCAGCTCTTGGGGACTGTGTGAAAGGACTGAAAGTTGTTGGTACTGAAAGTTGTTGTCCCCTCCAAGGACAAGACCAGCATTTGAGGTATGATGATTAAATAAATGATCATTGTATAAGTTCAGAACATCTGAGTATAAGGTCTGTGACATGAATGACATGGTTTGGCAATTCATCATCTTAAATTTCTGAAGATCCTTCCCACACCTAACACTAAATTATTCTATTAATGACCTAGTTATTCTGGGATTTTTCTGGACACTTTTGAGAGTCTTAACCACAGACTTGCTTACCCCTGTAATCTTTGGAAAATAAAAAAAAAAAAAAGTGGATTAGACTGTAGCAAAGCATCCAGAGTCCCAAATGCCTATTACATCCCTTCAATCATTCTCTATAMTATCCTACAGAGCAGCGGCCTCCTTAGTGTAAGCTAAACAGGAAACAGTTTCTAAAGTATTTTCAAGAAAATGTATGTATTTGTTCCGTAATGAGTGAATTTTATTGAAGGCTTTACCTTATCCATTCAAAAAATATTGACCATGGGCTATGCTGGACACCATGTCTTGTATGTGTTAGAGACCAATACAACAAGAAGAGATGAGGTCTTTGCTTTTCTTGCGGACATTCTAGTGGGGCAATCAAGTCACTACACACCATACAGATAGCATACTTTGGATTGTGATACATTTCATGGAGGAAATTGGGTGGTGTGACAGTAATGTGCAGGGGTAACTTTGTGGAAGTGACCTTGTGAGTAGTGGTCACCATGGAAGAATTTTGGAAAAGGAAGAGCTTAGAGAGAAAGGAAGGTAGTTGGAGATGTGGGTGGAGAAGAATTGGGCCTTGCAGACCCTGGCAAAGAACACAGATTTTTTTAAAATTTTTTTTATAAGTTATTGATGGGCCTTTGTTTGTTTATTTGTTTATACATGGTGCTGAGAATTGAACCCAGTGCCTCACGCATGCTAGGCAAGTGCTCTACCACTGAGCCACAACTCCAGCCCCAAGAACACAGATATTGAGTCCAGTAGAATGCTCCTGAAACATTTAATTGGATTGTACTATTTATTATATTCGACTCTGCCAAATGTTGTTGTGGTGTGCAGGGGCATAGGAAACATTGTTCCTACCTTCATAGATTATACACAGGAAAAGAACAACTAGCAAATTCATAAGATGGGGTTTCACTACACAACTAGGAAGAATCACCCATTCCTTTATCAATTATTTAGTTATATTATAAAGTTTCAAAATACAGAATCTACACTCTACCAAGTATTGGATGTAATAGGAGTATATCAGGACTAAAAACTGGCCCCTGCCTTTCTAAAACTAGTGTTTGGGGGATGGATTAATGGTTCTGACTTAACAATAATGAAAATAAATATGTGCTTAT